AAAATATTCTAATAATTTTAGTTATTAAAAAAATCTTATTTTAAAATATAAATTAAAGTATTTTATTATTATTATTTTTTTAATTTTTTAAAGATAATATGAACAAATATTAATTATTGTTATTAAATTATCATAAATAAATAAATAAATGATAAAATTTTATTCAAAATATTCTAATAATTTTAGTTTTTAAACTACACTTATAATAGGCATTAAACATGAAAAACCTTTTTTTTTTTTTTCTTTTGTCAATAGAAATTTAAAAGGAGAAAGAAAAATAAAAATTCGAAGTTGGATCCTTTGTCCTGGGTATCGGGTCGACCCATTTACCTGCCTGCGTAACCCACTGGAAAGAACCTCGTGTTTTTGTAAAACCCCCTTTTCATCCAGCTCCGCCTCCAGCTTCTGCAGAAACCAGCAAAACCCTACTCATGGAGGACGTCTGCGAAGGAAAGGATTACTCTTTCCCTTTGGAAGAGGAGAAAATCATATCTTTCTGGTCTCAGATCGACGCCTTTAAGACCCAACTCAAGCGCACTGAGAACTGTCCCGAGTACATCTTCTACGATGGTCCTCCCTTCGCCACCGGCCTTCCCCACTACGGTCACATTCTCGCTGGCACCATCAAGGACATTGTCACTCGGTACCAGACCATGACTGGCCACCACGTTACCCGTCGATTCGGCTGGGACTGTCACGGCCTGCCAGTCGAGAACGAGATCGACAAGGCACTAGGAATTAAGCAGAGGGACGAAATCCTCAAGATGGGCATTGATAAGTACAATGAGGAGTGCAGAAGTATTGTTACTAGATATGTTGAGGAGTGGGAGACAATTGTCACGAGGACTGGACGATGGATTGATTTCAAGAATGATTACAAGACTATGGATTTGAAGTTCATGGAGAGCGTCTGGTGGGTTTTTGCTCAACTTTATGAGAAGGGACTTGTATATAGAGGATTCAAGGTTAGTCTCTGGATTTGGAAGTCAATGGTTGCTTTTTGTAGCACACTAAAATTTTTATGTTTGCCGGAAATGTTGTTTTGCAGGTCATGCCATACAGTACCGGTTGTAAAACGCCTCTGTCTAATTTTGAAGCTGGGGATAACTATAAGGTCTGTTATTGTTATTCAATATTAAACTTTTATTCTCATGGCCTTTGAGTGGACTGGACTGGACAGTGTGTTAAACTTCTGGCTTACTAGAATATGTTGAATTGCTTAAGATTTTGATTATTGTTGGAATTTCATATGCAGCTTGTGTCTGACCCTGAAATAATGGTGACCTTTCCCATTGTTGGTGATCCTGATAAGGCTGCCTTCGTGGCTTGGACAACAACTCCGTGGACCCTTCCTAGTAATCTTGCTCTCTGTGTCAATGCAAATTTTACTTATGTGAAGGTCAGTAGCTTTATTATTATAGTTCTAATAGGAGTTACTGTATCTAGATGCATGCAGTATTCGGTTTCGTCTCCATGTTTTACTAACTCTTTTGGTTGATAAGATATATTATGTTTTATTTCTTTTTGTGTATTTATTGCTTAACTAGTGTGTTCTCATCTTCTGTAGATAGGTCAGATCAATATTGTTGAGACTTTTAGACATATTTTTGGGTAACAGAACATTTTGTATTGATACCAAAATCGTTTCTCAAAATTTTTTATTTTGGCCACATGTCCCAGCAGTTTTTGACATCTGTTTATGTGATGTCCTGTTAGATTCTCAATGGATGTAATTCATGGGCAGTTTTTTTGGAGGTTTGCATGTGAGAAGGATAATGTGAGCTTTCTTTTCTCTCTTTATTTGTTAATTTCAGGTTCGCAACAAGCACTCTGGAAAAATTTATGTGCTTGCTGAGTCTCGGTTGTCGGGTCTTCCTACTGAGAAGCCAAAATTGAGTGTTACTAATGGGCCTTCTGGTGATTCCAAGAAATCTAAAACCAAGGGTTTGTCTGGCGAAAAGACACAAAATCCTGCAGATTCATTTGACATCTTGGAAAAATTTTCTGGGGCTTCATTGGTGGGAAAGAAGTGAGTAAATATATTTTATTTAGTGGATATTTGGTTACACTGTTTCCATCTTTGATGGCTTTCTAAGAGAAATTTATGTTGAAATTTTGGATGCTAACATATTTACCTCACCCCCAAAAATAAAGAATAAAAATCTTCTTTTGTGAATCTGTTGCATTCTTTCTCATAATCTTCCTAGTGAGGAAGTAGCATGAAATATTTATTCATGTTGACATACCTACCTTTTATCTTTGGTTGTAGATAAGTTATGTAATTTATTCTAATTTATTCAAATTATGCAATTCACTGAATGTTTAGAAGCACACTTGTATGATTGAATACCCAGTCATCAATAGATGCTTGCTAGTGACTATTAGTTATCTGGTCGAATGTGTGAGATCAACTCAAATGTTTTACTGAGATTCTAAGATGCAACGTGTATGGCAGGTATGAACCATTGTTTGAATATTTCCGGGAGTTCTCTGATGATGCCTTCAAGGTCATTGCTGACAATTATGTCACTGATGACAGTGGTACTGGAATTGTCCACTGTGCTCCAGCTTTTGGTGAAGATGATTATCGGGTTTGTATTGAAAACCAGATAATCAGTAAGGTTTGTACTAACTACTACTCCTCATATATAGTTTTTCCCCCCTTTCTTATATCTAATGTATTTGTTCTGTTGAAATTGCTTCTTCTTCTTCTTTTTTGCCAATATAGAAATTGCTTAATTTGCCTCTGGTGCATATTTTCCATTTTGATCTTGATATTTAACGTTTCCCAAGATAAAATTTCAACGAAATTTAGGGTTTGTTTACCTTTCTAGATGAAATGTTTAATTTTAATCATTTAATGTTTAGTTTCTGTTTATCAGCATTTTTTAGATTGAATCCTGATGGAATTGGGGAACAAGATATATTTAACTTGTTCTCTATTGTCCCTCATGCTCTCTGCAAATTCTCAGATATCACTATTTCTCTGATCCATTTGCCATTTTTGGAATAAATGATTGAGATAATGCATTTGTTTGTTTCATTTTATTTGAAGTTTGAATTTGTTGTTGCACTGGCACTGTGGGCTACCTACCTATTAACTCCTATTCATTTTCTTTCTTATTAATTTCTTTGATATAAAATTTTCATTCTATTCTTATATTTCTATCCTTTCTTTGGCTTATACCATATATATATGTATATATATATTTTTTTCATTTTAACGCAATTATTTTGTCTATGCTTCACCTATAGGGAGAAAATTTGATTGTGGCTGTTGATGATGATGGCCTGTTTACCGGGAAAATTACTGATTTTAGTGGGCGGTATGTCAAAGATGCAGATAAAGATATTATTGAAGCAGTGAAGGTATAGTTTACATGGACAACTGTTTTATCAAATTAGTTATTAGAAGATGAGGAGGAACATTCTGCAAGTTTATATGGCCAAGCTAATATTGCTGTTGTTTCATTTTGGACATATTACAATTGTATGATTGATTCAGGTTGTAAGTTTGATCTAGTTCTTGTGCTGAATTTATAACTTAAAAGTAAGGTGTAATGTAGAAAATGTCCAACCAGATGAGGCCTTGGTCTGGTGGGCAATAGGCTGAGATTCTGGGAGGTCATAGTTGCAACTTTTAAAACCAAAAAAAAAAAAAGGGGGAAGAAGAAGAAAAAGAAAAGAAAAAGGAAATCTGAAAGTCAAATTTTCACCTGCTAGTTGAGATGGCATCAGATTGATTTCTCATATCTCTTTCTATCTTTTCAATATATATATATATATATTTCTCTTTCTTCATAACTATTTTTTTCAGGCAAAAGGCAGGCTTGTTAAATCAGGAACTTGCACACATTCTTATCCCTTTTGCTACAGATCTGATACACCTCTTATTTATAGAGCTGTTCCAAGCTGGTATGTTCAGTGTGTACAAAGAACAATTTGTTCACTGCTTTCATTAACCTGCATTCTTATTCCTTATCACATCTCTTAAGAAGTGGTTCAATAAATCGTGCTTCTGCTTCTATCTTCTTTTTCCCACTCTTTAATCTCATTTATGTGACATAATGTTTATCTAGGTTTGTTCGGGTGGAACAGTTGAAAGAACAACTATTAGAAAACAACAAGCAGACTTATTGGGTACCTGATTATGTGAAGGTTAGATTCCTTTACTCATATCATGTTGATCTTCTTCTCTTTTGGCCTTTAAGTTTATAGCTACTTCATGCTGTTGTGAGCAATCCAAAGGATATTTAATGAAGCACATTACGAGTTTATCCACTTAAGTATGTTGCTTAACATGAGATTCTTGCATCACCTTTTCCTCCTTTTTGTTTTATCTAACAGGATAAACGTTTCCACAATTGGCTGGAAAATGCAAGAGACTGGGCAATAAGTCGAAGTAGGTTTTGGGGCACTCCTCTTCCTATATGGATTAGTGAGGATGGAGAGGAAGTATTAGTAATGGATTCTGTGGAAAAACTTCAAAGGCTTTCTGGGAAGGAGGTCTTTGATCTCCATCGTCACCATATTGATCATATTGAAATCCCTTCCAGCAGGGGTACTCAGTTCGGCATGCTTCGGCGTGTTGAGGATGTAAGACTTCTTAAACTTTGATAAACATGCTGCCAATAGTAAATTCATGGCATTCTACTTGCATCATGACTTAGGAAATTTGCATTTTTCTTGTCTGCTGTCTAGCCTGCAATATATTAACTCCCTTTATAGGTCTATTTGTTCAAGATCTGGTCGCTGAAAGTTGATTTGAGCTAATGGAAGTTGACTTCCTCAGGTGTATTGTTGATTGACAGCTGTCTCAGATGGTCTCCATTTGGTTTCTCTGAATGGTGTTTCTAGTTTTCCTTGATTTTTCTGTGGACTCATTTCTGATTAGCTGTTCTGAGAATCTTGGTGCAATGACTTAACTAGGTTCCTTGGATTTTGGAAGATAAAACTTTTTAATTTGTTGATTCTTATTTAATAGGCATTATTGTAGAACAACATGAACTGATTGTAAAGCTCTTTTATTTAGGTTTGCATTCTGAAATTTTTTATTTAAACTTGTTTAATTTCTTCTTTTAACTGTTTCATCAACTTTTTAAGCTGTTTATTCATGTGGATTTGTGTTTTGGCAGGTATTTGATTGCTGGTTTGAAAGTGGTTCAATGCCATATGCTTACATCCATTATCCTTTTGAGAATGCTGAACTTTTTGAGAAAAATTTTCCTGGGCATTTTGTGGCTGAGGGGCTAGATCAAACTCGTGGATGGTTTGTTCCTTGCTTTAGATCACAACACGTGCCATATTGATGTCATTCATTTTGCAAAGTATGCTATGATGATTAAAAATTTGCACTTTGCCATAACAAAATCAAGGTTTTATTTTGGTAAAAAGTGAGAGTCAGATGGGGTTCAAGCAATGGAAGAATGTGGAGTACCTTGCTTCTAGTCTAGTCTATGCTTGCCGCCATTACCCAGTTCTTGTTATTCTTCTTCTTATTCTTCTTGTTACATTTGCATTGTGTCATTCATAAGCTATTTATGAAGCTTCATTCTTTCCTTGATTGACCTCTTTAACATCTTGGCATATGCCTGCTCAACTTTGATGGTGGTATCAGAGTTTATATTAATTTTATTGTACAAGCATTGTATCTATAAATGAGGGTTTATTTCCCTATTTTTTCCTTCCCGTCTCAGTGTTTGGTGTCACCAAATCTGTTTCTCACGCAACTGGTCATGTTTGATTAGCTAATCTAATGACTCATGTATGCTTTTCCCTGTTTAGACAGTCCATGAGTTTCTGAAATCAAGTTTGATTGTGGAATTTTATTTCATGATGATGCCTTTGCAGGTTCTATACACTTATGGTATTGTCAACTGCTTTATTTGGAAAGCCTGCATTTAGGAATCTCATTTGCAATGGACTTGTCCTTGCTGAGGATGGAAAAAAGATGAGTAAAAGATTGAAAAATTATCCCTCACCAGTCGAAGTCATTAATGATTATGGAGCGGTAAGTTATTTTCTAGCTTCATCATTCTTCTTTTTCCTATTTAATGCATTAAGTGAGTCTCTTGTTTCTTGGTTTTGCTACTTGCATTTCAGTTTATTCTTAGGAATTAGTGTAGCTTAAGTAAATTTTATTTCCAGCTTTTTAATTGACTATTTAGGGACAGAATCATTGCACTGTTTATTGTTGTATGGGGATGTAGTGGGCTGGAGTACCCCTTGTACTTCCTTTAATAAAAAAATTTTATTTGCTGATAAAAGAAAAAATTGACTATGTCTTTCTTATAATTGGACAGGATGCTTTGCGATTATACCTTATAAGCTCTCCAGTTGTTCGAGCAGAGACACTCCGTTTCAAAAAGGATGGAGTTTTTGCAGTTGTGAGTGTTGCCTTAGAATTATTATATGCTAACTTTTGTTTCTGGAGACTTTTTGCCTCTCATTTCCTAATGACTATTTTATTTTTTTGACATAATCCAAGTCTAATTCTCCCATTCTTATATTTTATTTTCTTATACAGGTTAAAGATGTCTTCCTTCCATGGTATAATGCATATAGATTCCTTGTTCAGAATGCAAAGAGGCTCGAAATTGAGGGTTGTGCACCTTTTGCTCCTACTGATCTAGCCACCTTAAAGTTGTCTAATGTACTTGACCAATGGATACAATCAGCAACTGGAAGTCTTGTTCATTTTGTCCGCCAAGAAATGGATGGATATCGACTTTACACGGTTGCTATCTATGAACCATTGCTTTTTTGTTATTCCGTTAAAAATATATGCAAATTAGAAAGCTTAATGTCAAGAGTGCATACCAATAGATTTCAGAAGATAGAAGTACACTTTCTTACAGATATATTTCAAAAGGAAAAAAAAAAAAGAAGATTTCAAAGCATAAATGTCCAAGTCTTTTTTTCTTTTTTTCTTTTTTTCTTTTTTCAGAAAATCAATACACTTATTACACATTGATATTGATTTCTGAATTCTTGTAGAAGCATTTTGATTCAGCATGTCCTTTGTGACTTGACTTAATGCCTAAAACTAGCATTTTATGACAATAAACTTTTTCTTTTTTGTTAATTTATTACATGATGCCATCTCTAAAGTGGTCTTCTTTTCATGAATATTGAGTAAAATTAAATAGCATTCAGAAATTTTTACTGTTCTCCTTTTATGCATATATGCTCATAATTTTTCAGGAATACAAATGGCCAATAATTTGAGCTTATATGTTACTGCTATTCTCATGGTATTTTAAACACATATTGGACTTAAATAATGTCTACATTTTCCTCTTTTAGGTGGTGCCTTACCTACTAAAGTTTCTTGACAACCTTACAAATGTATATGTAAGATTCAATCGTAAGAGACTAAAAGGACGCACAGGAGAGGAAGACTGCCGCACAGCTCTCTCCACTCTTTACAATGTATGAACTTCTATCTCATGCTGTCTTTGTGGAAATTCATCTCGTTTGATGTTTATGCGTTATCATAAGCCATTCGCTAAAGAATAGTATTGGTTTCAGGTGCTACTAACTTCATGCAAGGTTATGGCTCCTTTTACACCGTTCTTCACTGAGGTTCTTTATCAAAACATGCGAAAAGGTTGTGATGGGTCTGAGGAAAGCATTCACTACTGTAGTTTTCCTCAAGAAGAAGGAAAGGTATTATTTATTATCATACTAATGGTGTCTCTTATATATAATTTGTTAAGCCAGATATAAATGAGCTATTTGCTCTAAAACTTCACAACTGGAGAAGGTTTCTAGAAAATATGGATTTGTTTGTTAATTGCAATCTTCACACTGTTTATAGTGTTTAAGGAGTTAATAGATGATTGAGAAGGGTAAAATGTGAAAATCAGCCCCTGTGCATTCCATTTGGATCAGATCTTCCCTGAAGATGCTGATTTGCGAGTAGAAAGATGATAAAATTTGATTCAGTTTCCTTCGTTTTTCTTGGCTAAATATATCTTTCTGGCCATATTCCTACTATGTTACATTAGCTATTGAGCTGTATCATATGCTTGAGTTCTTATAGTTTGTATTGTTTAAACTTCCTTTATATTTTTTTCTGTTGCTTCATTTTATCAATTTCATTGCCATTCCAGAGGGGAGAAAGGATTGAAGAAAGTGTTGCGAGAATGATGACAATTATTGATCTTGGGCGCAATATTCGAGAGCGTCACAACAAACCTCTCAAAACACCTCTCAGGTCCTTTTAGTTTATATCTCGCTTCATATTTCCACTAGGTATGCTTCTGCTCCTTTGCCTTTAATTCTTCTTTTCTGTAATTGTAGGGAGATGGTAGTTGTTCACCCAGATTCAGACTTCCTTGAGGATATAGCTGGAAAGCTGAGAGAGGTAAGTGAGAAATGGAGCAATCCACCATTTGTCCTTCTCTGCTTTAACTTTCATGAATGTTATACATTCTTCTGGTTCTCCTTTCACTTCTTTCTGGTAGTTATGACTCATAATCAGCTTCCTTTCCTTTTACTAGAGGCAGTAGAGGACAAATATCCTTAATATCTTTTCTTGTTTCTTTTGTTGTGTTTTCTTTTTCTGCATTTGTTTTGAAGTTTCTAGTACAACTAATCCTCAGGAACCATTTTTTGCTTGCTTTGATTTTGTATCTCAGAAAAAATTCTACTCGGCAATTGTTTAAGCAACACATGACCTTATTTTAATTCTCTTAAATTTTAAAAATCTAGGTAAAATATTGAAATAATCTCCGTGCTGCTTATGTCATTTAGAAATTAGAATTTGACTTAGTACCATCTAATTTAGATGATCTGATAAAAGTTACAAATTTTAATCTTAAATGGCTGGAAGTCAATTGTCTTACCCTTTCTGTCAACTTCTACCTCACTGGGGTATGTGGTGGCCTATAATCAGTTAAACCTAGATCAAAGGATTTCAGGAATTTCTCGTTTTTCTCCTTTTGTTTTTTGTTTTCTTCACTCTCTAATTTGTTTCTTTTTCCTTTTCACCTTTCCTTTTTTCCTTTTCCTCTTTTTTTGGTTAAAAAATTATTGTCTTCTTGTAGTATGTTTTGGAGGAACTCAATGTAAGAGTTCTTGTTGCATGCAATGATGCTTTGAAGTATGCTTCATTACGTGCTGAACCTGATTATAGGTATGAAATCTTTCTCTTTCCTCTCTCATTTGTTGGGATTGTTGGGAAACTGACAAGCATTTAATGTTATCCTATTGTTGTTCTTCTAGTGTATTGGGCAAGCGTCTGGGAAAATCTATGGGTGTTGTGGCCAAGGAGGTCAAAGCAATGTCTCAGGAGGATATCTTAGCTTTTGAAAAAGCTGGAGAAGTAACAATTGCTGGTCACTGTCTAAAGCTGACCGACATTAAGGTATGCCATGTTGATGGGTTAGGTTGTACTGATTTTGTACTTTCATCTAATATATTTCTGAAAGTTAGTTTGGAAATAAAAGTGTAATTGTTTTGAGTTGATAAATAGGAATTAACATGGGTGCCTCAAACTCTAATAGAAATAAGTGGCTAGTAGTTGCAAGATAAAAACTTCATTTTAGTTTGTGTGCCAATTTTATGCTCAAAGAAGAGATGGAAATACTTCCTCAGGAATCTTTGGAAGTTTTTCCATCTATTTAATGGTGGCTTTGTATAATTGATATATAAGGACTACACATTAACACAGATGTTCTGAATATCAAATGAATTTTCTTGTTTTAAAATTTTTAGGTGGTTCGGGATTTTAAACGTCCTGATGGTATGACAGATAAAGAGATTGATGCTGCTGGAGATGGTAAATACTTCTTATAAGTAATTTATGTACATTGAAAGGGAAAAAGAGTTCCTGCATCCCAAAAAATAAGAGGGGATGATATGTTTACATGGTGTATATTTTTTAACTTTTACATCTGCTTTTATTCATGTCTTAGGGGACGTGTTGTTGGTTTTGGATTTGCATGCTGATGAGTCATTGTTTGAAGCTGGTGTTGCACGTGAGGTAAATAAATAGTGGTGCCACAATTACACTTGAATTACTTCTAATTTTTTCCTTGTAGATTCCCATGGGAATTTTTTTTGGTTTGGCCACTGTGTTTGTGGAAACATAATAAGATGTAATGGTTTATAATTTAAGTGCCTTTTCGGTTTTTTCATTTTTCTTTTGATAATAACATTTGGATGCCCTTACATTATTTCAATCTCAATTAAATTAAAAGTACTTCTGATACATGTAATTTCTGAACTTTATAACTGTAGGTTGTTAATAGAATTCAGAAGTTACGGAAGAAAGCTGGCCTTGAACCAACAGATTTGGTGGAGGTTTACTTTGAGTCCTTGGATGAAGATAAGTCAGCCATACAACAAGTTTTGAACACACAAGTAAAACTTTCTTTATTATGTGAACTGAAAATTATAGCTTATTTTGCCTGCTCTTGCTTCCTACTTTCTGTTTAATGAGAATCCAAAATGATATATTTTCCGTACAAAGCAGTTAATAATTGTATTTATTTTACAGGAAAACTACATCAAGGATGCAATTGGATCTCCATTGCTTTCTCATAGTGTCATGCCACCACACGCGGTTAGTTCATATTAAATTCAAGTTTGAAATTTCTTAATACAACATTGTATGATAGAATATTGATAAAAATTCTAAAATGGCCTCAAATTGCTCCATTCCCTTGCTTTTTCTATTTTGTTTGTTTAATCAACGGTAATATCAATGTTGTGTAAATTGCTGACCTGTGCTCATCTTTTTATATCACTAAATGATGTATATAAAAAAGTTTATATCCCTTGCATTCTTTTTCTTTTTGTACAAAGGGGAATATGGGGTGGGGAAAAATAAAAGGGAAGAGCAAAGATAAAAATTGAGAGCATTCTATTAATTTTAGGTGGAGCGGCCCTAACATCCACAAAGTATTGTTTAATGTCCGATGTAGGTTCTCCTTGCGTATTCGAAATAGAATATCATTTTAAATACTTGTTCTCCTTCATGAAATGCAGGTTGTTATTGATGAAGAGAGCTTCCATGGCATCTCTAAGTTTAATTTTAAGATAAGTTTGGCACGACCAGCTCTGTTGTTCAATTCGGAGGCTATTCTTCCATTATATGCAGGTGTGGACTATCTCTGGCTCCCTAGAGGCAAATCATGCTTGTTAGCCTAGATATAATACAGAAGTTTTCTTATTTTCTTCAGTCTTTTGACTTTTTTCCCTTTTTCCCTTACTGACTTATTGAATGTTGCAGGAAACACACAATTTGCACGAGGCCTCCAAACTTACCTCCTTTCAAGGGACCATTCTGCTTTGAAATCCGAGTTTCAGCATGGACACGGCAAGGTTTGTTTTGCCTGGCTTATCGCTGTAACATGATTCAGAAACCTTCTTACAGCATGATTACCGATTGTAATTTTTCATCACATGTATCTTTCTTTCTTCGCATTCTATTTGCAGATTAAGGTTGATGGCATCGAGAATCAACCTCCTGTGGAGCTGACACTCGGAAAACATGTATTCTTGACAGTTGGTGACTATTTTTCGACAGAAAGAAGTGGCTGTTAATATTTCATTTTTTCAAAACCTTTTTCTTCAGGTCCTCACTGATCGGTAAAGGAAAATGGAGGGATTGATTTGTAAACTTGTTAATTTGTAGATGACTATAGAGTGAGAAGAAATTTCATGTTGTTCAAGGAAAAATAATATAAGGTTTTATGACTTCGTCCAAGGATTGTAACATTCTCCCTTTTTAGCTGTTCTTGAACCCTCAACCTGAACTAGAAAGAACTCTTCTTCGTCTTCATAATGGAAGTTTTGGAATCAGTCCAAGGATTTTGAACATTTGTAGGTCTGCATCAAGTAAAGGCGAAATTTATTATACTTAACAGACCCAAATGCTCAAAATTATAAGTTTCTCCCACATTTTGTCACTACATTTCCCAGCCATAAGAAAAGAGTGCGATTGTAACGGGTATCATAGGTTCAAGCAGGATGTGAGGATGAGAGAAAGATGATACCGACTCCATGGGAGAAGGGATCGAGAACGGGAGCATCGTAGATGGACTTGATTTCTTCATGCGTCCAATCATTTCTCGGACCTTCCCGAATACCTTCTTTCGGCTTCAATTGCTGCAGCTGAAACAGCAGGGTAGAAACAAGACGCTGGTAGCAGAGTCGAGGCTGTTCGCTGGTTTCGACGAAGGATTGATCGGAGAGACAGCATTTTGTTTGAGTTCTCTTTTCTCGATCGGAGTTATCCGGGGAAACCAACGAAGCCTTTTCCGACACTGAAATTGAAATTGATAGTTGCACATTTTGAGTCCTTTAGTATGTTTTAATTTTATAGACAAGAAGTTTCCAGATACGATTGTCCATGAACCTGAGCAGAGAGAACCAGGAAATCAACGTAGATGATCTGAGTAAAATGTTATATTTCACATTTTTCTTGCAATCCAGTAACACCAGCAAAGCTTTTCCAGTGTGAGAAATGCAGGCATGGAGTAGCAACCCTACAACCACAGAGGCCTCCAGTGGTTCAAACCCAGGAGCCAACATGCTTAAACCTGAACTAAATTTGGATCCCAGCTATTCCAAGGGTGCAGACTGAAGATGAGGATCTCGAAATGTAATGATATATCCTTGAAACAGAAGTTGATCAAATATCTGCTTCAGTAACTGCAATGGCTATAACGAAAATGTGAAAGAAAAATTATCTCCTCAAGATTAGCAATTAAAACATTAGATAATGTTATGAAATTTCTATTGTTAACTGCATTTAGTATGACACCTGACAACAAATTCTATGTCTTGACACAAAAATGACATGATGAAGTGTAGAAAGTAGAAACCGTGTAAAGACTCTTACTAAGAAAGCAGAAACTAAGAACGATAAGGCAGCGCATGAGACAAAACAAGATGAGGGGTATTACTATTAGAGGTTTCAGCAAAGCCCTCTTTTACTTTTACTTACAAGGTTATCTTCGCAGAATCTGCTAAAAAAAAAAACCTCACCTTTACATTTTTCTGTTTCTGAGCAACACGATTTTTGTCATTACAGCAATGGCAGATATAAAGTTTCAACTAGAACTTTCTTCCCCAACTACAACTATACTTCTTTTTCCCTTTTGTGCAGTTTTCCTTTTGGCCTGAATTTGACGCACATACTCTGCCACTACTACATGGAACTTTGGAGCAAGCCTACTAGAGGATGAAACAGTAAGACCTGCTTTCTTCAAGGCTCGGTTGACATGTGTCTGAGCCTTTTGGAAGTGGACTGAACAAAGAGAAGGAACAGTGGATCTCAGGATAGGTTTTCCACACGTGATGGGTCCAGCCTGAGCACTACAAACATGCAGCAAAACAATGGGTAAAAAACCTCAGATGAAATCAGTCTCCGGTAGTTATTGATGCTACTAAAATTCAGGTCATCTCAAAAGTAAGGACACTAATATCAACCTTTTTCTTCCCTTCCCTTCTCCTCCCCTTCCTTCCCCTCCCCTCCCCTCCCCTTCCTTTCCTTTACTAATTTTTATTCAAACATAGGCTTAAAATAAAACAGAAACTAACTCAAGATCTTAAGGCATAAAGAACAAGAAAGATCATTGCTTTCATAACTATAGACATTACCCATGAATCAAAGAGAAGAAACCACTCATTTTCCTTAAATTTTTATTTGACATTTTATGGTACATGATGCCAACCACAAAACCTTAATATTATCAAAAAAGAATAAACTTTGAGAGAAAAAATCAAAAAAATCAAAGGCATACCTCTTGATGACATATGTGCAGGCCTTGTAAAGCTTCTGCTTCGAATCAGAGAGAATATGCAGATGGCAGAAACTCGTCAACGCCATAGCTTTCAATTTACACCCAACAAAAACGCACTGATGATTGTTCTTCAAATCCAAACTAATACCACCAAAATTATTGTTATTACCATTTTCACCACTGCCCTCGGCATTAGAATTAGCAGGGTCTCTCTCCCCATTTTCTCTCTCCACCTCCAGAGTCTGATCTTGCTTGAAAGGGCTTACGCCGTACTTCCAGTAGTATTCTCTGTATTGAACCTTTAGGTCCTCCATGAGAGCCCAGTAGTGGTCTCTGTAGCACCTTGAAAGCTGCTTTAGGATGTGCGATCGGCGCTTGAGGAGTTCTGGGCGAGTAAGGTGGGAGGCGCGTGAGAGGACGAGGTCTTCCGGGGAGGGGGTGATGGGAAACGACATACTGGTTTCAGGGTTGAGGTTAGGGTTAGAGATGGGATTGAGAAGGTCTGTCTGCGCGGCGTTGTTAGGGTTTTTCGGCGGCTTTAAGGACGAAGGTTGGAGCTTGAGACCTGAAGACATGGCCGTGAATCAGATTAAAATAAAGGGAACTTTACACAGCAGCCGCAGAGGACAGTGAGAAGGCAGATGGCTTTCGATACCGGCACCGGTTCTTCTTGTCGTGAAGAAAAGCGAATATAATTATTTTTTGGAATAAATACGAGATTTAGTCCCCATCTTTAGTATAACTATGAGATATTGTCCTGACATTTTATTTGGACCGAATATGGTCCCAATCTTTTCAAAATCACAAGGAAGCCTTAGTTGGAATTTTGTGGGACTCATCCAAATCCCATAAATTCCAAAGCCTAACTTTTATAGTTTTTAGGATTGATTCCTAAAACAAGGAATATATTAATCAAAAAACAAAAATAAAATAGAAATTTGGAATTACAATGGACAAAAAGAAAAATAAATTAAAATTTTTTCAAAGATATAGGACTTGTGGGCTTTTTCCTATATTTGGGTTTCTATTGATTCTATGAACTTCTAGTTAAGATTTCTATTAGAGATTTAATAAAAGTGGCTAATGGTAAGATTATACTTAGTGATTTAGAAAAAATTGGGATCATTTTCAATATAAACAAAAGATTAGAGATAATATCTAATATTCATGGTAAAAATTGAAGATTTCACTTAAGAGATAATTCAATAGTTAAGAACTTAAGATTTTAAACTAAAAATTTTTAATTCGATTCTTAAGTCAACTAAAAAGAGATTTAAGGAAAAATAATAACTATCTATTTTTATATAACTTATTATTATTATTATTATTATTATTAGATGTATCAAGAAAAAATTGAAGTCTTCTGTAATTACATAATTTTTTCTTTCAAAAATTGTAATTAGTCCTTAAATTTTTGCTCAATTTTCAGTTCCATCCCTACCCTTTTTTCTTATCAATTTAGTCCCAAAACATTTAGAATATGGAAAATCTTCTATGTACTCATTGCAACCAAGTGTCAGTTATCGCAAGAGTGGATTTCCAAAAAGGAAAAATAGGACTCACCCTTGAAGAACCAAACTTGTGCCATGGAGTTACATGTACAGGATCAATCTTTTACCTTACTTCAGGCTTTGCAAATTGCAAGTATGAATTAATATACAGGAATCTATGGATTTCTGTATCTTGTTGCCATCTGTCTGCATTGCTGCATGGGATGCCTGGTGTAAATTCTGAATCCCACAACCCAAACTGGCGATATAGGAAGCAGAAGGAAGAGACTCAGCAGCAAATTCAATGCCATCTCCATAAATGAATAATCCCGTGCAAGAAGCAATACTACACCCAAAAGTAGTCCATGGTAGAAGACCAACTGGCCTTACTCGCCTATTCCTCATTATTTCATAGAATGCTGATCTCATGGCTGAAAAGCTGGTCTTTTCAGCAGAGGCTATGGCAGCATGAACCACAGTCCGGATTTTCTCAGCAAAAGCAACTGCATTCAACACAGATGAATTGCCTGCAGAAGTTGTAAGCCCTCGTGCTGCTAATTTTGATGGACCAAGAATTTTGCTCACTGCTATTGCAAGTACTTTCTGAGTCTGGGTCAAAATGAGCTTAACTGAAGGAGGAACCTTAAATGTTACAAACTTCACAAGGGTTGATGCAGGAACAGCTTTAGAGAGAGATGAAGCTCCTAAAACTGCTGTTGCACCTGCCCCCACAGTCAAAGCAGGTTTCTTAGATAATAATTGCTTTTTGTCTGAGTGATTTGAGGTTTCCTCATCATCTGTGAAATTTGTAACAATGATGCCAACTAAATCCTTAATTTCTGGAGGAACAGAAGTGTTCCAATGTTTCCTGAGACCTAACAGGCCACTATAGCCACCATGGTCTTACATTTTTTAGCCTGACATTGAAGAGCATGAGCAAGGAGTGCATGTGACTTGTCCTCAACAGAAAGCTCTGAAAAATCAACGTGACCAGAGTTTTGGTTTCTCAAATTTTTAAGGGGTACCCGACCAGCATAGTTAAGGGCTATCCTCAAGCACTCAACTGCAATTTGAAAGGTGTAAACTTCAGATATGATCTTGGTATCCACAATCTCTCCTCTATTTATATCCAGAAACAACTTCTGCACAAGTGCTAGAGCCTTTCCCATTGATGGCATCTCAGCAAATATGTTATGTAGATCAACAAGCAAAGGATAAACTGGCTGGGCAAACAATGGAACTTCATAATTGTCTATCCGCTGATATTCATCAGGCCCCACCTCTGGAATAGAACCTGAAGGCATTAATTTCAGCTGGAATGAGTGCATATGTGAAGACAATAGTTTCACCACCTGTGACTGAACATCATTACTAATGCATAGCCTCCTTGAACCAGGTAAAATAGATGATCCCATTTTTTGTGGAACCAAACTAGTAAGTAGACCTTGAACCTTGTTACCTGCCTCAACTTCCCCTGAGGTATTAACCGCATCAGGATTTTCAAGAAATGATGAGTCAAGCACCATAAAATTCGAACCTACCTCTTTTGCTGCCCTTTTGGCAGCCAGGAGATGCCCATGAAAACAAGTACCAAATATCTCTCTCAAAACTAAGTTTCCTGCATCACTCTCATACTTCTCCTTATTAATCTTGTCAAAAAAGCACCTTTTAATCACTCCAAAAGAAGAAGTGGGAACTGGATTATCATCATCATAATTACATTCAGTCTCTTCAACTTGAATTTCACTGAGAACTAAAAAATCCACTTGAGCCACAACAGCATCTGGTTGAACTGCCCTAATAAGATACTCAGCATCTCTAGCAGATCTCTCAGACAAATTCTGAGCAGAAAGAATGTATATCACAGATTGAGACTCAGGCTCTCTAACAGCATAAACAAACCTCTTGGTCTCATCAGGTAATGGTAGTTTGCGAACTAACTCATCTGATACTCTCAGGTCATCAAATTTGGAGACTGGGAAGGGCCAAAGACTTTGGAGCTTGGAAACAAACAAAAACCCCATTGCAATCAAATCAAGCTCCTATTTGGTTGCCAAGAAAACCCAATAAAATGAAATGGAGAGAAAACTAAGCGCCCAATTGCAACATGAAATGCCAAACAATCAAGAATCAAATTTAGTTCCACTTTTCCAGATTGTTTCCCACCATCCAAACAGAAATTCACAGCTGACAACCATAATCCGGAAGGAGAACATGCAATTAAACGCTCGAGAAACAGTACTCAATCAATGCGTATCTTGATTTAGGGTTAAAGACGCTAGTGAAGGGCATGCAGGTGAGAATTTTACGCACCTTTCTTCCGCCAAGCAAACGGGAAAGTAGCGTCAACATTCAAGGCATGTAGTTTCCCGAGAAAGGGAATCAGATTATCGCCGGAACCTGTAAAGGCCGGAGACGGAGAATAACCTCCACCGACAGAAATTTTGACCGTTGGGTTTTAGCATCCGTAGTGAATTTCGGTGACTTGGTCCTCTATTGGGAAGGGAAGACATCAGCCCACGTGCGATCGGTTCATAACAGAGACGACCCGAGAATCCGATCCGAATAGATTAGTCTTTTTCTTTTTTCGTTTTTATTTAATATTTATGCATCCCTTATTTTACCATCTAAATAATATTAAATTATAATAATATAATTTTACAATTATAATAATTATAAAATTATAATTTTATGTAATATTAAATAAAATAAAATATTAGATAAATAAAATATTAAAATAAATTAATTATATAAAATATATTATAATTATAATTTTATAAGATTATGTAATATAATCTTATTATAAGATTATATTACATAATCTTATAAAATTATAATTATAAAATATATAAGATTTAAATTGTTACTTTTATTTTAATTTTTTTTGGTAATATTAATATATAAAAATATATAAATAATCTTATAAAAAAAAAACTAGATAACTTTAGGTAGAAAATATTTCTCCCACCAAACACCCTAGGCAGGTACTCCTCTCTAGGTCCCTCTTTAGTATAGCACATTTTAATTCGCCGTCAAATGGGTTGCATCTCATTCTTACGGGTGATCGGACTTGGCAAATGGGTCGGAATGGGTGGATTTGGATTAGGTCATCTCGAAATCTTGGGTTTTTTAAATTGAGTAATTTTGGGTGTTGAATCGAAAGGATAGACCCATGGCTCACCCATACAGGTCTCGGATTTGGTTGAGTATACCCAACTTTAAAAAAACTAAAATTAAAATTAAAATTTTTTTATATTTTTTTATATTTTTTTAATAAAATCTAATATTAATTAACTGTTTAGTGAGAAAACTGTATTAAACGCTAATTTTTATTTTATGATTCAATTTTCATTCTAATCTCAAGAAAAGAAAATGAAAAGATTACTAATTATATATGTGGAACTAAAACATATGTCAAATATACAATGCCTATATAATATTTAGAATTTATAATTTTGTAAAAGCATTAACCTTTATTAAAAAAAAGAGATATGAAGGATTAAAGTTCAAAAGACAAATACAATATATATATGTTAATATCTAATGTTTATTCAATATTTATAAAATATTATACAAAAAATACAATTATATTTAATATTTAGAAAGGCATTATACAAAAAGTATAACCTTATTCAATATTAAAGTTTAAAAGATAAATTTAAAATATTTCTAAATAAATAGAAGAAGAAATTAGATCAGGATTGATTTTTACTAACTATGAACAAATTATTAATTAAAAACAAATTAGTAATTTAGAACGAATTAGCAACTAAGATTAAATCTTGATGTTCTTGTCATATGCTTCTAATGATGATGAGAGTTCCTCAACCACTGGTTTTGATTTTTAGTAGGCATTCTTTCTTCTTCTTCTTTTTTTTATTTTATTTTATTTTAATTTTGACAATATCAGATGACACAACTCATTATGTGCCACATAATTTGATTTTGGACACAAGTACCATCAAAGAGAATGATTAAAGAGCTTGAGATGAAGAAGGGAAAAGTAAGAGTGGAGAAAACGAAAAGTTGAGAGAAAGAGAAACTGTAGAGATTTTGGAGACAACAGAAACTAAAAGGAGGTTAGAATTTAGGTATTTTATTTATTTCTACTTTTAAAATTAGGAAATTAGAAATTAGAAATTATTTTTTAAATAATCTAATAAAAAATATATGAAAAAAGTTCAAGTAATTTCGGGTGACTCGACCCACCCGCGATCTAACCCATTTGGATTTGAATAATTTCAGTCTGGATCATTTCGGATTTCAGATTGACACATAAGACCCATCACCCAACTTATAACGGATGAGTTGGGTCAGATTTTCGAATTAGGTCCAATTTTACCAAGTCTACTAGTGATTTCATGGGATATGGGTGTTTCTTCCATTTTTTTTAACGGTTAACATATGAACACAATTATATTTATAATTATTATAAATATTTTATATTTTAAAATATTCTCTTTGTATACTTTATACTTTAGAATATTCTATTTGTATACTTTATACTTTAGAATATTCTCTTTGTAAACACTTATATATAGGTCATTATATATACAATATTATTCAAGAAAGCAATAAACCTTTCTTATAATTATTCTTCTTCTTTTCTGTTTCCAACATGGTATCAGAGTTATAAGCTATTGGTTTTTTTCTTTTATTATCGTTGTTTGGTTTTTGGTGTTGAATTTTCAATTCTATTTCAGATATGAAATTTTATCGTTGGGATCTCATCTCCTATAGATTGGATTATTTATTCTCGATTCTCAAGCCATTTTGAGGTATTTTTTTGGTTTATCATTTCGATCTTGACATCTATTTATTCATATTTTTTTAGAGTTTTTTAGTATTATAAGTTTTATTGGTTCTATGGTGAGTTTTGAAAGGATGGTAACCCATCATGATTTTTAGAATATTTTCATTGTATACTTTATACCTTAAAATATTTTTTTTGTAAACACTTATATATTGATCATTATACATATAATATTATTCAAGAAAGCAATAAATCTTTCTTCAAATTATTATTCTTCTTTTCTGTTTCCAACATTAACAATGTAATATTTAGTCTCTAATTAAATAAAAAATAATTATTAATCATTAGCTAAAGAAATAATGCAAATTTAATATTTAGAGACTCGTAACAAAGTTTAATAAATTTAACTATTAAGATTTCTCTTAAAATGTCAACTTTGAGAGAGCACACAATTAGAGACAATTAATAACTTTTTAATAAAGCACATTAACTAAGAGATAATTAACATATCAAGCATGATCAAGTAACTTTATTGGATAACCCTCATTTGTTTTCTCTCATACACACACTCCCTATGCCTTTCTCTTTCACATTCATCTTCCTCCTCTAGCTATCCATTAACCATTTTCCTTCATGAATCCTTTTTCTTTCATTAAGTGCTAGAGCCTGACTTCAATTTTTTATTAAACTCTAACGCGAATCTATTTATGCAAGTGTTTACCATCTCCACCAACTAGCCTAACACCTAAATCCTAATTTAATGAAATCACTAATCATACTAAATATTTAAATATATAAAAAGCAACTCAATTATGTAAAGAATGGTTAGAGAAAACTCCCTAAAAAGGTATCTTACCACTTCTCATAATTTTTTTTTCTTTCTTCTTTACATTTAATTATAAAATTATATATGCATTTGGGCCTTCGACCCAATGACCTTAAACCACGAGTAAAGTGCATCCCTTTCTGTAACGGTTCGAATTCAGTATTTTACAAATTTATTCAAAAAAAATTATAAAATTATATACAATAATAAGAAAAAGTTTAATAATTAAGAGTTTGAAGATCTAAATTAAATATTTTATGTTTAAATTTTGAATTAGGTGAGAAAAAATTTAAAAAAAAGATTATTTTTTGTTATATAATTAATTATTATTAGATATAAAAAAATAAAATTATACTAATAATTTAAATAATTCAGTGATTATCTCATTTCATTAGAAATAAAAGATATTGAATTCAAATCACATGCGAATGTGGTGAAATAAAAAATAAGAGATGATTATATTTTATCGTACAATTAAGATAAAAAAAGAAAAAAAATTATATACAACCGATAAGTGATAACAATTTCATTTCCAAAATTTCACACCACCCATCGGATTGGAAAATTGAAAGCTCACTTAAAATGTACAACAAAATTTCAACCGAAAGAAACAGGCGACCCGAAACAAAAATGGCACCAAATCCTACCATCACCCGCGCGTTAGGTCACCACTACTTACCATTGGCTCTAAATTCCCGAAAATCGCCCTGTTGACTCCAACTCTTTACACGCATCTCTCACTCCTTATTGGTCTGTCACCTCCTTCTCGTGTTGCCTCAGAACTTGACATATTCCGCTCCAAAAAACCGTGTTGTGCATTCAAAGCAAGAAAAGCACGCTGCGAAAAAATATTTTAAAAACCATTCTCTCTCCTCTCTCTGCATATTCCTCGCATCACTGCTTTCGGGATTTAATTCCGAAGAATTCCAATTCTCTGTTCAATCCGATCCATTTTTGTTGTCGCCGGGATTCAAATCTCGGTGAGGGAGGCAATTGGATTGGTGTCGGCGGAGCTGTGGATCTGAGGGCGGAACGCAACTTTTACGTAAACTGAAGCTAAGAAATGCTTCATTAGGAGGTTTAATCAGGTGAGAAGAAAATTGGATTCGTTATGGTATCGGATTTGAGCTGATTTCGTTTGTGTTAGCTCCATTAGTGAAAGCTTAATCTTGGATTCGAGGTTGCAAGATCTGATATCTGTGTTGTGAGGTATGAGAGTTTTTAAAGTGATCTTTTTTTCAACCAAAGGAAAGTTGACGTCTACTTTTGTAGGAATTAAGTTTTTTGATTGTTATGATAAGATCTGGTTTTTTGAGTCATTATATCATTACTATTTAGGATGTTCTAATTCTCCCTTATCTCTTTTAATTATCTTTCTGCAAAAAAAAAAAAAGGTATTTCTTTATCTGTTTACAGTTGAACTTTGTTGGTTGATTGAAATTCAGCTAATGAGTTCTATAATTTTGATGCTTCTGTCTGTTGAATTTGGAAAATATATTTTTCTTTCCTGACTTGAGAATTTAATTGAACTGAAACAACTCTTTTGTGTTTGGGAATTGGGGGTGGTAAATAGATTTTGGGAAATTTCTATTTTTGTTTTGTTTGGTTTTTTCTAATTGACGTTTTAATAGTTTAATCGCTTCTTTTACCTATTTCATTTTTTTTTTTTTTTCAGATTCAATTTTGTTAGGAGTCTGACAGTTTTGGGGGCAAATCAATGAAAAACGGGATGATAGAATGCAGTGTCTGCCATTCAAAGTTGGTTTCCCCGACTACAAGAGGTGTAGCAAGGGCTTATGATCGGCACAAGAGCAATGTATCAAAGAAGCAACATGTCCTGAACCTTCTTCTGGTTGTTGGGGATTGTATTCTAGTGGGTTTACAGGTAACTCTCATTTGGGTTTGTTAGTTTGCTGACCTGTTGTAGATTCTCAACTGTTGACATGTTTTTATATTCTTTTCCTCTATCAGCCTATTTTGGTGTATATGTCTAAGGTGGATGGGCGCTTCATGTTTAGCCCTGTTAGTGTTAACTTTTTGACTGAGTGTGCAAAGGTTGTATTTGCTGTTGTTATGCTCTTGTTCCAGGTACATCTTCTGCCTGCTTTCATCATGTTTCCTTTTACAATAATATGATTGAATTTTATGAGGGCGTGACAGGATACAAAACTAGAGAGAAGATATTGATTGAGTAATCCTAATGTGTTATCAGAACTCTTCCTTTATGATGAGCATGGTATTATTGGTTGCTTTTATGGGGGGGGGGGGGGGGGGTGTTGGAGGTGGGGCGAGGAGGAAGGATGATCCTTAGAGATTCAGATGATGTTCTGATTAATCTTAGTAAGGTTTTCTGGGTTTGAAATTCTACAGGCTAGGCATCAGAAAGTTGGTGAAAAGCCCCTTCTCTCAGTGTCCACATTTATTCAGGTACTGGTTGATTTCTTAATGATGGTATGAATTTTATGCTTTATTATGGATTGCTCAGATAAGATTGTTGCAACTTGCAATGATAAAAAATTTTATTTTTGGTGCAACTGTTTGCCTAGTTCAGCTATATTTCAGAAATTTTAATTATCATTTTCAATTTTACTTGGCACCCAGGTGTTAAGATTCTGAAATGAAAAATAATACTTGATATGACACAACTCTTTGTGATGACAAGACTCCTTTATTTCTTACAGGCAGCCCGCAACAATGCTCTTCTTGCTGTTCCAGCTTTTCTCTATGCCATCAATAACTATCTGAAGTTCACCATGCAGGTTTAGTTCTTTTAATTATTCACTTAGCATATACTAGTTTGGGATATGCTTATGTAATCTGTGTTTTTTATAAGATGGGAGGGTAGCTTTATGTTGCTTCTAGATCTGTTTTTAGTTTAACTTAGGTCATAACTAAAAGTGAAGAATTACTCATTTGCAGCTATATTTCAATCCTGCAACTGTGAAGATGTTGAGCAATTTGAAGGTATTTTGGCTGTCATGATATTCAATTAATTGTATCTTAGTGATGCAACCTGTGATGTATTTGGTTGGCTGACGTAATGCTGGCAATGCTGGACTTTTAATTTGTATTACAAGTTGCTTATTTATAATGGTACCATTTTTTGGGCTACTTCATTCATCAATTGGACTTTATGTTGTTTAGTTTTTGGTGTTGAACTTTCTTTGCAGTAATTCTTCACTTAAATAAAAAAGAAGCAAAGATGTAATCCATCTTACTGTTTGTTGCCAGTTCATTGACCCAACTTTTTGTTTTACGTTGCAATTTGTAGTACTCCATTTAAGTCTTAATTGGTTGTGATCATGCAGGTTTTAGTAATTGCAGTTTTATTGAAAATGATAATGAGGCGCCGGTTTTCTGTAATTCAGGTTTGTTTCATTTTTCTTTTGGAGTTACATTTCTCAAGCTTAAAAGAATTTGATCTGGAAGATACACCGTTCCTATGTTTATTACTATATCATAGGCACAGCTGATTCATGGTTTCATTGCAGTGGGAAGCTCTTGCTTTATTGCTTATTGGAATTAGTGTAAATCAGTTGCGTTCTTTGCCCGAAGGAGCTACTTCATTGGGTCTTCCAGTTACAACAATAGCCTATATCTACACATTGGTCTTCGTAAGTGGCTTTGGGTATTTTGTTGGTACTTGTTACCTGTAATCTCTAGCATAGGAGACTGGGTTGAAGTGCTGGCCCGGGGCCTCACAATCAGCGATGAAAGAAACGAGTTTCTGTTACATAAATAGTTTTGTTCATCCTTGGAATTTATTTCTGCATGCTTCTAGCTTACACTGGAAAAATGTTCTAGGTAACCGTTCCATCTTTGGCTTCTGTCTACAATGAGTATGCTCTGAAGAGCCAGTTTGACACGAGCATCTACCTTCAGGTATTTTTTATGGTTACCGATATGATATTGCCACTTGTCCATATTATAAATTCTACCAGTTTTGAAAATCCATAATGTTTGGTTCAATCTGCACTAATTTTATATTAAACTATGTAAGTATTACAAATTAAAATATTACAAATTCAAATTATTTTAATATTCACACTTGCCATCAGCTTCGAATTTTTGATACTTGAAAAAATACAAAAAAGTAGCTCAAGTATTCATCCTCTAAATTTTGTCTGTCTTTTGGCGTGCAGAACCTGTTTTTGTATGGATATGGTGCTATATTCAATTTTCTAGCAATATTGGGAATTGCTATCTTCAAAGGTGTGAGATTGTTCTAATGTCTTTATATATATATATATATATATGTTATATATGTATGTGTGTGGATTGTGATAATAATAAGGGTTTTAATAAAAGTAGACTGTCATCGGGTATGTTTGGTTCAGCTTCCAAGTACTTCAGTTTTTTGATACTATTCATGTTTCATAAGTTTAAATTTCCCTCTTAAAAACTTACATTTTTATACTTTTTTTTAACCTTAAAAAGACTTCAAACAGTAAAAGCTCAAAAGCTTCAAATCCGATCTTTTCATAAACTCTCTTTTTACTCACTTTTTCCTATCTCTAAAGCAACTTTTAAATTTTTCCTCCAATAAAAATTTAAACTTATCACTCATAAACAGTACAAAAAAAGTAAAAGCTCTTACAAGCTAACCCAAACATGCTCAAAAATTACAGCCTCTTTAAGGGGCCACATTTGATGAAATTCTGAATATTGCTTGATGAGTCTTTGATGATCTTTTCTAATACTCCAATATTAGTGGTTTAAAATGTTTATTTGTTGCTTCAAAAGCAATTTAAATTATGACAGGAATCCAGATCTATCTTCCATTGTAGCTCTGATGTATCTATATTTCTTGTGATTGTGAATCTATCAGGTCCTAGTAGCTTAGACATTCTGCAAGGACATTCCAAAGCTACCATGCTTCTTATATGTAATAATGCAGCCCAAGGAATTTTATCCTCATTTTTCTTCAAATATGCAGGTAGGAATGGTTATATATTATTTTCTTTGTGTCATTTTAAGTGCACTATTTTGCATAAATGCTCTCGAGTCAAGTTCAATGTTTCCACTATTATCTTTTGGATGTTGATTCTTGTCCTTGTTTTGTCCATTCAGATACAATTTTGAAGAAGTACTCTTCAACAGTTGCTACAATCTTTACTGGAATAGCATCTGCTGCTTTATTTGGTCATACTTTGACCATGAACTTCATCTTAGGAATTTCTATTGTTTTTATTTCAATGCACCAGGTAACTTACCAGGAGACTCTTATAAAATGATCAATTTAGTTTTTTAATACAAGCAATCCCTTACTGACTTTTTTTCCTTTTGCAAACCATTCCAATGCTTTTGATTTTCTCTGTAGTTCTTTTCACCCCTTTCAAAAGTCAAAGAAGAACAACATAATGGGAAATTGGAACTGGTGGATTTTCAGGACAACCAAAGGTATGAGGCCTTTCTTTTCCCTTTTTGCTTTTGATTTTATTGCATGAAAGGTGTTGAAATTCACGAAATTGTTGGAACAAAGAGAATTCTCCTTATATTTGCCTTGCATATCTTCTTTGGGTTAAAGCCTTATTTTTCCTGGCATATGCTTGAATCAAACTCCAGGGTAAAAGTTCTAACTAGCTTTTTCAGTGTTCTAATTAGAGTATGCCATAACATGCAGAATATTTGGAAAAGTGATTTTTGAATAATTTTTATTGCTTGATAATTACAGAGTTGTATATCCTTTTCAGGTCAAAAGAGACCTTCATAAACATGGCAGCTGGAGCAAATGAAGAGGTACAAATTCAGCTATTTAAAATTTCAAATACAGTTATCTTTATTCTTAAAGAGGGTCTTCTGTATTTCCTCTCAAACCTAAAATCTGTTTCCTTGTTGATATTCTTTCCAGGCTACTCATCGTGTTGGATCAGATGAGAGACAGCCACTCCTTCCAACTTAATTTTTTCTTACAGTATGTGACAAGATTTTTACATTTCTATGAATGCACCACAACAATTGTTCTGAATCTCGTTAGAGATGTCTTCACCTTTTCTTTTGTTCTATCTGCTTCCCACTATAATTTTTTGACATATTACTGAAATTCTTTTCTTTTGCAGGAAATTTCTTCAAAGCAATTCTTTTGGCAGGACTGTTTGGACAGCATAGGAGATAAACCAGTTACCTATAGCACTCAGTGGAATAAAACCTATAAAGAGATGCCAGTTTTTTTGCTTTTGAGATACCTTTCCTTCTTCTTAGGCCATCCAGAACTCCCTGCTTCTGGATATGCTTTAGATAGATAACAGCAATGCAATGCAATAGGTGCCGGCCAGTTTCTCCAGATTCCTGCCTTCTCCCTGCATAAAATGCGTTACCTCGCTGTAACCTCTATTCTTTATCTTTGACCAGAAGTGGATACTTTTCTTTGCCAAAAATATTGTTTTCTATCTGAATACTAGAGACAGCCTATAGTCTGAAAATCAGAAATTTTCATTTCTCCTTATACCCAGTCTATTTAATTGTATGAACATTCAGCGGTACAATCAAAAATTATTTTTCTCAACATTTACACCTTGGAATAAAACTCCTTATTTTTAGTAAAGTCCATAATGTTTACCACATAACATTGGGCACCATATAATGTGGCAGCCGAGGTGGATATATAGTTGATTATTTTTACTTTGGATGAAACTATAATATTGTATACATACATCCATGACATTGGCAATATCATGTTATGTTTACATATATTTTTAATTTACTGTTAGTGTTTTCAGATTAGTTTTTACATATTTCAAGATCAATTTTATCTCATTATATTTAATAAGTTTTTATATATTTTAAAATTAATTTTACGTTATATTATTCACATATTACTAGTAAGATTTTTTTATTTTATAATTTACACTGTATTTGAATTGATAGAGTTAAAAAAGAAAGAGAGAGGAGTGTGGGAGAGAGAGAGAGCAGGGGAGGGAGATGGAGAAAGATGGAATCCCCTTCCCTCCTTTGTTTTCAATTATTTCGATTTGAAAAGATTAGAATGGATTACACTGCTTAACTTATTTATATTTTTAATTTTTTAAAAAAATAAAAAATATAATTATTTTATTTTAATTATTTATTTAATTAAAAATTAAAATTTTTATTTTTCATTATTTTATTTTTTATTAAATTATTTAATTAAATAAAAATATTATCTTTTCCTTTACTGCACTTTTATCTATCTAAATAAAATTAATATCAATTTTTCCTTTTCCTTTTCCTTCACTTCTCCTTTCCTCCCTTTCCTTTTCGCTTCTTTTCCTTTACTCATTTTTATCCAAACATAGGCTTAAATTATTATAAACTATAAATTAAAATTTTTAAAAATGGACTACAAAAGAGGACTCTAAAAGTCCTCCCAATTCAAGAGTTACCATATTTTACAGTCAAATAAAATCCGACCTGGAGAACGGGTTTTCACAGCTAACATGTCCTGATTTTTCAGCAAGAGGAAGTGCCAATTCCAGAGGAGGTTTGACTGCTTCCAGGACAAAACATTAATATATCTGTGTCATTAAATATCCACAAACACATTCATTCGAGTTCGGTCCACAAGCTTCATAGTTCATACCAATCACTAGTTCTGCTCTTTCGTCATCTTCCGACGACACCGGCGCACAAAACAAACCACCAAAAAAACCTTATTTTCAGAATCAAAATCAAATCCCCAAAATTTTTTTCTTCCGGGGAATTTTCGTTTCCAGAGCTTATGTAGAGTTCTACATAGATGAAGTGATGATCTGTGTTAGAGCTAACCCCTTCTCTTCTTCATCTCCTTCTCAGTTCCTACTCGTTGCCAATAGATACGACCCACGAATTCCCTTCTCCACGCGCCGCCGCCGTCGAGGAATCAGGAGACGAAACGGCGACCTTCCCCTCAAAAAGAATATCAAATTCGAAACCTTATCGGATGATGATCAAAACATTAGATTAGTCCTCGATCTTGAGCAGATTTCATCCCTACCCTCCTCCAAATTTCGGCAACTTCTCAACTACTCTAGAGATGCTTACGACGACCTCAGAAATTTCGTCACGGTGGATAGTTATACTCGGACGTTGCGGGTATCGTGTCGCAAATCGACCTTGCAATTCCTTGGCGGGGTGTTCCTTTGTGGGTTTGTCGTTGTTTTTGCTTTTAGGGTTCTGCGGAACCTGGTGATGGGGTTTAAGGCTAGACTGCGGTCTAGAGAGAATGTGATTGTTAGGAGGGATAGGAGTCTTGGAGGGAGAGAGGTGATTGTTGGGATAAAGGGGGATAATCAGCAGTTTAAACCTTTGAAGGCTAGGGCCTCACCGGTTCAAGCTTTGGGCAGGGGTAAAATGGATTATCCCCTCGGAGTCCAGGTGCCGGAGAAGTTGCCCAAATGGTGGCCGGAGTCGGTGGCTAATGGGGGCACCGTGTTCAATCGGGAGTATTATCAGAGAGAGGCCAACATATTGACTAGAGGTTGGTAGCTGCACTTTCTTTAAATTTCCTTAATTATCATGGCTGCGCTTAACTTCTGCAAATTCAACTCATCATATGATTCCAGTAATCACGGACAATAGAACCAGTGGAAAGGATATTTCAGAGGAAGATATAATTCAAGTCAGTGGCTTTTCTTTATTCATTCAATTTTCATGTTGTTTATAATTTTCATCTAGAACTAGAAATGCAACTTTTGGCATTGTGAAAGTTTTGTGCGGTATGTATCAATGTGTTCCTGGTCCTGTTAAGTTGTGAGAAATTATTAACCTTGATTCAAAGAGAGTTGGCTCCCTCTTTTTCTATGCATGTAGTCTGTTTACTGTCTCTAATTTCATCTAAAATGCAAAACATTGATTGTTGATTGTGTTTTTATGCGTTATATAGGTGTTTTGTTTGGTTTATATTATATTTGAATTTTGCATAATTTAGTGAGATATTGTTAATCAGTTAGTGATTTGTTTGGTTTATCTTATATAGGTGTTTTGTTTGCATCTTGATTTTTGTTAATCCCTTTATATACGTCAGTGAGATACTGTAAATTGCAATTGTGGCACAAAATTTTCTTCCCCTGTTGGATTAGCTGACCCTTGGACAATGTACTGGCTCTTTTCCTGTATATGTGTGAGCAGTTACGTCAAATATGCAGGACCTCTGGAGTGAGGACCTCTTTTGACACAACAAACACGCGGGATTCCTTCTATCGGGCATCTATTGAGTTGGTTTTGAATGTTTGCAGCTGGTATGGGATTTTAGTTTGTGTCTGTTACTTAGTTTCATTTTTCGATCAATAGACATTGTAGCTGTAGTAACTTGCTGCAAAGCTTTACATCAGACATCCTTGAGCTGCCCCAATGATGTCTGTTGTAGAAAAAATTGTGTGCCATTAACATCCTCATCGTAACTTACTTCAGGGCACCAAGTCACTCTACCTCAGTTGAGGTTGATGATGAAGATGCTCGAGAATTCATTGCAGGACTTGCTGAAAATGTTGGCCTTGAAAAGATTCGTGCTGCCAGAATGGTGTGTGCTGCTGTTGCTGCACGCACGCGTTTGCGGTTTTTGCAGGCTTGGGTAATTTGTTGAGCTCTTATTCCTAAGTACAATAATAATTTCACTTTTTATTTCCATTAGACATGGAGTGTTGTTGATCATCATTTAAAAGCTGAGGTGCTGCATGGGAAACCGTTTGAATCTTACCTGTCGGAGGATCACATCAACAAAGAAGAAAGAAGCATTACTAAATTTTCTCTTTAATTATGATTAACATCAGCACTGGCTTTTGGCAGATAATGGAATTCATATATCCTGCATTGTAGAAGCATAATATCTTCAATAGCCTACCATATGCCATAGTTTCTTGCCATACACTAAAGCCTAAGAGAATAATATGCCGTTGCTGTCAATTTTGCCGTAAATCTTTAACAGAATCTGGACAGGTTGCTACGGTTTTACTTTTTCCTTGCCCCCTTGCCCTTCAAAGGATGCCTTGCCTTTTTCTGTATTTTATAGAATTTATGTTTCACTATAGCATTTTGTTTCAGGCACTCAAAATGCAAGGTAAACATTCTGAAGCAGTATCAGAGCTGTCAAAGATATGTGTAATTCACCGTATATTTCCTCCAGAAGAGTCTTCTGTATGTGTTCTATTTTCTAATGAGTTTCTATACATAATTTTTTCTTTTTATAACATCTTTTTTCCCTTTGTTTACTTGGTAATGCTTTTGAGAATGAGAATGATAGTAAATGTCAACCTTCGTGGGAACTGCATCATTGTTGATTTTTCTTAATGATTAGCAACTTAAAGCCAACTTTCTGCACACTTCTGTCATATATTTTTTGATCTTTACTTAAAGGAGAGTCTCATTTCTGGCCATATTGTATTTTGTTTTTTGCCAGCATTCCAGGCATGTTACCAAGAGAAAATTATGATACATTTGCAGCTCTTTTATTTTATTTGAATGTCCATACAAGTTTGGTTACTTTAACTTAATATTAGGGTTGGTCAGTTTATTTAACAGCCATCTTATGGCTGCAAGATAGTCTGTTGTTTCATATGAAATGGATCTGTGAAGCCTCATCATTGGTTTTCTTGGACCATGAATATAATATTTCTGCAACAAATGATTGACGGAATAATTTGGTGCCTTGCTGATTTCTACAGAGGAATTTTATCTGTTCTAGCTAGGATCTGGCTGATGCATGCAATTGTCCTATGACATAATTGCTTCTGTAATTTAATGATTTGATTTGATTCACATTTCATGTATTTCTACAGCCAGAGATGGAGATGGTTGCAAGAGGCCTGGAGAAGGTATTGAAAGTAGAGCAGAGGGAACTTCTAATGGGTATGCTTGTTGGGGCTTGTGGTGAAGAGAATCGTAAGAGTGCAGCAGAAGCGCTGGGTTTGGTCTGGTGATGCATTTTCTTGCAGAATCTGTCAATCTGGGTTTCCAGCAACACTAATCCCAAAAAAAAAAAGGAAGACGAAGAAGAAGAAGAAGAAGACATCCTCATATTATTTTATCAGAAAATTAGATTGAATAATTTTATCTTTCATTGGTAAAGCATATGTACTGCTACCATGTAAAAGGGATGGCATAGATCAGAAGAGCAATACAAATTTCAAAGTTCTCAACCAGTAAGCTGTTCATGCAAGTAGTCCTAATTTTAGCAGCTCCCTTCTGAAATAAGTGTTTCAGTGAGAAAGAAAGGAATGGAGCTTAACAGGTTTGGGAGGCAAAACAGAGAGAGGAGTGGTGGCAGAGGCAGTGGTGTGTGAGGTTATGCTCGTTGAAGAAAACGAATTGTTTTGATTAGAAAAAGCCTGTCGATTTTTTTCCTTTTGGGTTGTGCCATTCCAGAAGTACTAGCTAATTAACATATCCTTGCATCGCATGGTGTTGCTGCAGCCAAGCGATTTTCTTTGTGTAATTAACATATGAATTCAAATTTCAAAACACAAGCCATTAGAAAAACATGGCATTCTCCGATTTGAAGAGAACTTTTAATCCAATTATTAATATTTTACAGTTTGATGTAGTTTAAACTATTAAATGCATTTTCATTAGTACTTTTTTTGTTTCAAAATAAATGATGTTTTAGAGAAAAAATTTTGTTTGAAATTATTTGAGGTTTGAGAAAACCATACATAATTAATTCCTCTTTTCCAACTTTACCCCACTAATCATAACATGCAGAGAGATTATCGTTTAAAATAGAGCATATTGTAAATTTCAAAAAGGATAATTAGAGAAGTTTAATCTTTTAGTATATTGCCCTAAGTAAGGTTACTAATTTACTGTTAACCTATGTGCCAACTTCTTAGAAAATTTTATATTTTGAAACAGAGGTCACAATATATACTACATAACAATCTCGAACAAATTATCTTATTTATTGACTTTTGGCTCGTAGAAATTAAGAATTCATAATACATGTCAAGGCACTGTATCAAGATTTCTCAATGATATGCATTAGTATATTAATCATAAATGAGCTACCAAATTAA